TCTGAGATAAATAGCAGTGAGAGCTTTCTCTGCAGATGTGGTGTGTCTCATAACAGGTTGTTGTGGCTTGCCTGCCTTTGTCCTTTTCACATCTCATTCTCTATGTCTCAGGGCAGCCTGGTGCACCAGGGATATTCTCAGCAGAAGTACGGATCACCAAAACTCACATGCTTGCGTTTCCTTGTCAATGAGAATGGATTTTCAGCACAGCACCAGTCTTTCTGTGAAATGTGATGTTCTGTGCCTTTTAGTTATTTGACAGATTCAGTACTATCAGTTTTGTTTCTTAAAGAAACTGTAGTAATTGAAAGGTGCCCAAGTTTGATGTGTTCATTTTAATTATCAAGTGTTGATGGGTTAATTTGTTTTGTTCAAGCACAGTTTTTTTTTTTTTTTTTTTTTTTTTTTTTTTGAATAAAATGTAATTATAGTCAGAGGAACACTTCCAGCTAAGTTTGAGCGACTTTTGAAGCTGGTCATTGTGGTATTTCAGGTACTGAAGGATCTCAGGGTGTGGTTGAGTCCTGCCTATGAAGCTCTCCTGCATATGAAGCTTTAGGTGTTATTTGATTGAGAAACACCTGAAATGTCCTGTTCTGTGGTTTAGAAATGAGCAATCTTTTTTTTTTTTTTTTTTTTTTTTTTTAAGTTATTTAAATTATACAGGAATGATTCACTTGTGCTTGAAGCACAGAGCACAGAAAAGCAAACAAACAAAAAGACTAGATAAAAACCACCAAAAATAGCCTGTCATTATTTTTTCCACTAGCAGTTACCATTTGCAGCAGAGGCTGCAAAGCCTATGTACAGGTTTGAGCTTGTGTGCTCCTTGCATCCCTACTCCATTCTAGCATGAGATGCTGGTGAGCACGCTTCCCCCTCTCTGATACTCTGCCTCCAGAGGAAAGAAGTTCAAACATGCAGCAGATATGGTGACAATTCAAAATTAGTTTGGTGTGTCAGTAGTCATCTTTTGGACAAATATCCATTGTCACATGCAAAAAAATCCTGTCTTTTTAACAGCATTTTGTGCAGATCTGGAGGGGAGCCAGGGATTGATTGTCTTATGAAAATTAAATTCTCCTTCTTTTTTTTTTTTCAGGAAGATGGCATAGTACATAAGGGACCTGTAGAGAAGATCATTTTCCCACGTATCTCTGTTTGCTCTTATGCCAGCTCATCTAATAGGTGTTTTGGTGCTCATCACTCATATTTGAGCATCACTACTTTTCTTTGGAGAAGCCATCACTATTCTCAAGTCAGACTGCAAAGTAACAGCTCTGTTTCTGCCTCATTGCGCACTCTTGTTGTTGAATATAAAGCAGTATATGTATATGTTTTTTTTTTTTTTTTCAGGCTAATATGCATTTTACACACATTTTAAAGCAGGGGAAGAAGAGATGTTGTCTGACTTAATTTTGTTTGCAACCAAGTTATTTATTTGATCCAGATCAGATTTGAAGGTATTTGCTAAAATAAAGTGTTTCTGATTGTGATATATCTGGTGATCCTTAAGATCTTTGAAAAATTGAGATGTTACCTGCTCCAAGCTGAACTGGCTGCAAAGGAAAGATGTTTTTGTGACAGTTCTGCAGTTTGAGATAGAGCTAGAATATTTTTTCTATCCTGCCCTGGATTAAAAATAAGTTGTGTCTATGTACATTGCTATCAAAAATATCTCCTTTTTGAAAACGCTTAGATATCGTGCTAGCCATAGGACATTGTATTCTTCACTATGTAGAGGACTTGACAACATCTGTCCTTTGCCTTGGAGACAGAGACACTCGAGAAGCCCAGATGTGGAGGGACCGAGAAAGATGACCTCACGTCTCTGAAGATGATGACTTCACATCTCTGGGCTTTCTTGTCTGGAGCCACCAGAATGGTTGTCTGTGTTTAAGCACATGGTTATCTGTGGGTAAAGAAAGTGCTGTAACATCTATGTCTCACCACGCTCTGACCAGTGAAGCTGTGTGCACACTCCTCTGTCTGGGTGTGCTTTTTTTTTCTTTCTGAACCTTGTTAAACCTACCCAGAGCTCCTTGCAGACTAAGCATGGCTGCACAATGCCTCTTAGCCCTGGCAAGCATGTCAGCTGTGAGAGCTGCCCCAAAGAGCATGCTGAAAGCTGTGTGCTGCCATTGCCCTGCTTCTTGTCCTCACTGCCACCTTTAGAAGCCCACGTGGTAGGAAATAGCTAGCCCACAGCTGTGCATGTGCCAGTCAGTCTGTCAATAAATACGTGTGTGTGTACATACATACCAATGGTTGTGCTGTCTGGTTACATGCTGCCAAGTAGAGTATACAGCAACTGAGTTCTTGTCTGGAGACACTAACCTTAAGGCCTTGGCTGTACATTTTCCAAAAAGCGAGGAATGCAGGACAATCTTTGAGGTTGTTAATCCTGTCAAATTTGGCTGAGACCAGTTAGTAGATTTGAAGGTTACTTAGGAGTGGGGTTGGCAAACAGTGTAGTTTCATTAACCTTTTTCCAAGGAAAACCAAGCTAAAAATGTACTAATCACATTTTCCAAGCAAGCTTTAACATTCCTTGGAAAATTGACAATTCAGGAATGAGTGTGAGGCAGAGGAACCAGGAGATCCATACTCTAGGATGGACTCTGACACTTAACCTTCTGCCTTGTTTCCATAGCTGTCCAGCATTTCCCTCCTGACTTCACAAAAGGATGGTGTGTCTTTGTTTGTAGTGTGCTCTATAAATACTAAGTATTATTATTATCAGTGTAAAAATAGACTCAGAAGATGGTGGTCTGTAATGGAATAAAAATGTAACAGGATGGCCCAAAATTCCCTGTCTTGGGAAAAAAAAAAAAGAAGTTTAATTTTTCTGTTTCTGTTTTTAGATGCAAGGAACAACAGTTCTTAATAAGCATCAGAATTTTTGTTTTACATAAATATTTTATGGTGATTTCTTCTAAGAGCTGTAAAACTACAGGTACTAAGTTCATTTTGAAACTCAGTGGGAGGCAGGAAAATGGGCATGTGTTCCAATGTGGCCAACACTACTGTAGAAGTAGTTGTCTCAATCATGTCCTATTTGCAAGGGTTTGAATATTTGGTTTAACAGAAGATGCAGCTACCCAAGGAAGACTGTGTTTCAATTACTAGTAAAGGAAAAAAAAATAATCCTGCCACAATTATCAGGCACTTTTCTTTCTCAAGTGCTCACATTCCCTTTCCTATGAAACACATCGGAGTCTCAAAGGCAGACAGTCTGTATGATAATCAAGAAATAAATTGTTCTGGAGCTCTCTTATGGTAGATGGAAGAAAGATACAAGTATAATAAATAGTACATAAACTGTGAAAAGCCAACTGTTGCTTAAGTGCTGGACATGATAAGTAGAGCTAGGTGATTTGTTTTTTTTTCCCAGGAAAAGTAAATGAACTGAAAATACTTTTTTTTTTTTTTTTTTTTTTTTCCCAGCCCTTTTTCTGGTTTTACCATATACTTGCTGCTAGAGACAAACATGTGAGGGTCAGAGACACAAAAGTGGCCATGTGTTATTCTTCTATGCAGTTCAGAATATTCTGGCTCCATTTTCTTATCTCTCTCCAATTTGGATATCAGGATGTCACATGGGACCATGTCAAAGGCCTTACAGAAGTCCAGGTAGGTGACATCAGTCAGTCTTCCCTTGCTGACCGATGCAGTCACTCCATTGTAGAAGGCCACCAGGTTGGTCAGGCACAATTTGCCCTAGGTGAAGCCATGCTGGGTATCCCGGATCACCTCCTTGTCCTGCATGGGCCTTAACATTGCTTCCAGGAGGATCTTTTCCATGATCTTTCCAGGCACAGAGGTGAGGCTCACTGGTCTGTAGTTCCCCAGGTCTTCCTTTCTACCTTTTTTAAAAATGGGAGTGATGTTTCCTTTTTTCTAGTCACTGGGACTTCACCTGACTGCCAGCACTTCTCAAATACGTTGGAGAGAGGCTTGGAAACTCCATCAGCCAGCTCCCTCAGGACCTGGGATGTGGTTATCAGACCCCATGGACTTGCACCTGTTCAGAGCCATCAGGTGGTCCCGAACCTGCTCTTTGATTGCAGTGGGAAGGACTTCGCTCCCCTTGCCCTCACTTAGAGGTCTGGGGACTTGAGAGACGTGGGAAGCCTGAATGCCAGTGGAGACTGAGGCAAAGAAGTTGTTGAACACCTCAGCTTTCTCCATGGCTGTTGTTACCAGTTCCCCCTTCTCATTTATCAGAGGGGTTACACTCTGCTTGATCTTTCTTTTCTGGCCAATGTACCTACAGAATCCCTCCTTGTTATTCTTTGTATCCCTTGCTGAGTTCGTTTCCAGCTGTGGCTTGGTTTTCCTGATCCCATCCCTGCACATCTGCATGGCATCCCTGTACTCTTCCCAGTCACCTGTCCCTGCTTCTCCCGCCTGTGCATTTGCTTTTTAAATCTCAGTTTGACCAGCAGGTCCTTGCTCAGCCGTGTTGGTTTCCTGCCTTCCCTGCTTGACTTATTACATTTGGGGATGTTCTTGCACTCTAAGAAAAGTGTCCTTAAGGAGCTGCCAGCTCTGATATGTTTCTTTGTCCCTAAGGACAGTTTCTCTGGGGATTTCATCTACTAATTCCCTAAATGGCTGGATTTTTGCTATTTGAAAGTTCAAGGTTGCTTTTCCAGGCCCATATTCCTTGACATCATGAACTCAACTGGTGCATGGTCACAGCAGCCCGGGCTGCCTCCAGTCTTAACCTCTGTAATGAGTTCATCTGCACTGGTGAGCACCAGGTCCAGTAATACCTCTCCTCTGGTTGGTTTGTCTGATACCTGGACTTGGGAAATTATCCTTGATGCACTCCAGGAGTCTCCTGGATTGCTCACAGCCTGCTGGGTGGCCTTTCCAGCAGATATCTGGGTGGTTGAAGTCCCCCACCAGGATGGGAGCGTGTGAGTGGGGTGCTTCTTGCAGCTGCAGCCAGAAGGCCTCATCAGCCGCCACCCCTTGATCTGGTGGCCTGCAGCAGGTCTCAGCCACAAGGTGTCCTTGATTATCTGGTCCTTGATTTTTACCCACAAGTTCTCAACTTGTCTGTGGCTGTTTATCAGAGGCAGCTGTGCACAATCTATCCAGTTCTTAAATAGCGAAAGGAGGTGAGCCTTATCTCAGTGCCTGGGAGGATCATGGAACAGGCTTTCCTGGAAGCTGTGTTAAGGTATGTGCAAGACAAAAGGAGGCAGCACCCCTGTCCTTTCTTCCTTGCCTGTGTTTTCTGTAAATCTTATAGCCCTCTGTTCTACTTTTCCAATTGTGGATTCATCACAGTGTGTTTCTGCGATAGTAATTAGATCATAGTTTACTAATTGCACTGTGGCTTTCAATGCCTCCTACTTGTCTACCATAACGTATGCATTGGTGTGGAGGCACTTCAGTGGGGCTGTTGGCCTTATTATCTCTTTAGAGGAGCCCTCCCTAATTCTTTTGGGACAATTCACAGGTATTTCCCTGTTACTTTCCTAAATTGTTGGTGTTCACTGGTTCTTCTCTCCCACTCAGAGGCTAATCTCCTCATGCTGAATCTAGTTTAAGATGGGGAGGGATTGTTTTTCAGGGCTTAATGTGACAGTACATTGGGCTACTGAGTGCTGGGAAGCTGTGTTTCTTCTTCAAACTTTATGCTAGAAATTGTTAGAAATCCTCTCCTCCCAAATTTGCTGCTGTAAAGCTTTCCTGAACCTGTTTTTTGGAAATATTTGAAGGCCAGCTTTCGAGTCATCCACTCCTCTTCTGACACTGTTTCCATAAGCCTGCCAACTGAGCACCAAAGATCTGACCTCCTTGTGGGTTTAGGCAGATCTGCTGCTTCAGAATATGTTTTTGCTGATAAATCTTGTGTTTTAAAAATGGTAACTGGCTGTGTCTCTTCTTTGCTTCTGAAGGACCGAACTGTTTGCAGAACCTCAAATGTTTTTTCTTCTGATTAAACTCAGTACCACAGTTCAGCTTTCTAATTGGTTTTTATCTCCTCTGCCATTTCTCCTTCTTTTGATTCAGTTGGAAATACTGACTGTAATTCACAAATCAGAAAGTTGGACTGTTGTAATCAAACTCTGAGCAAGCTTCTGCAGGGCATAAATATTAGCAGCTGTTCTTCATACATGATGGATCTTTTTCAAAGGTTATGCATGTATACTAATTCTTTCCCTAACTGAAATTTCTTTAAAAGATACCTCAACTTGCCATAGAGTAAAGAAGATACCCAAGTGTCTTAATTCACTTGGGTAACTGATGTGTTAATGGTGTTACTGTGTTTGGAAATGCTCTTTCCAATTTACTTAGCTATTATGTGAGTAAATTTAAAAGTGACTCATCTGTAACCTCCAGTCAGGTCTGGTTGAAGGGCAGGGGATTTATCAAGCTCATGATTTCCACAGCATGGAGTACAACTGATTCAATGCCTGCGGAAAGTCTGGGTTAATATTTGTGTTGTTGGAAACAGGAAGTGATCAGCGTCAGGATACAGAGGCACTTTTGCCCTGTAAATAAGAATCAAATCAGTCTTAAGTGGAGGTGGTAAGGAGTCTGTATATATGAATCGGAGCCTGTTTAGGTCTCAGATTAGCAAAATATTTAAGTGGTGTCACACTATCTGTGGTATTCAGAAGTGTGCTGAAATGCCTGGATGATAACAGTCCATAATCCTTTTCTCTGCTTTCTAATATGCCTTCATTTAACAGCTCCAATGTCTTGCTACTTTTCAGATTTATCTTTTCAGAAAGTCTTATTTGTTTTTGTATTTTTTTTTACCAGTCTTCACAGTCAGCCCCATTTAGAATGAGGAGAGAAGGGAGGATTCATTGTTTTCTGAAATACTGACTGTGAAACAGAGAGCAGGGTCATCTAATATGACCTCAAGCATGAAATCAAGTGTGTTAAGACCACATTCCTTATCAGCAGGACAATTCAAATATAGATCACATTGAATATTCTCAGCCTTATGTCTGTTATATATCACGGTGATTTTTATATGTCTGGGGCTCTTCAAATGTGTCTTACCTGATGAGGTAGGCAATAATTTAGCAGAGTATCTATGAAATAGTGTTAGTCTTCCAGTTAAGACATAAGACTTTCTGGGTGTGCTTATAAGACATTCTTGTTTCCCTGCTAGCATTTCTGCATGGTAGGAAAGCTCTGTATCAGTGTTCCAGAAAAATCACAAGAAGAAGGGATGAGATGTGCCTTATGTACAGAGGGCAAGGCTCTGGTGTCCTTTCCACCACTGCAACTATAGACAAAAACCTACAGGAAATTGCACACTCGTTTAATTGGCTGTTATAGAATCATAGAATATCCTGAGTTGGAAGGGACCCTTAAGGATCATCAAGTCCAACTCTTGACACCGCACAGGTCTACCCAAAAGTTCAGACCATGTGACTAAGTGCACAGTCCAATCTCTTCTTAAATTCAGACAGGCTCAGTGCAGTGACCACTTCCCTGGGGAGCCTGTTCCAGTGTGCAACCACCCTCTCTGTGAAGAACCCCCCCCCGATGTCAAGCCTAAATTTCCCCTGCCTCAGCTTAACCCCGTTCCCACGGGTCCTGTCACTGGTGTTAATGGAGAAAAGGTCTCCTGCCTCTCGACACCCCCTTACGAGGAAGTTGTAGACTGCGATGAGGTCTCCCCTCAGCCTCCTCTTCTCCAGGCTGAACAGGCCCAGTGCCCTCAGCCGTTCCTCGTACGTCTTCCCCTCCAGGCCTTTCACCATCTTCGTAGCCCTCCTCTGGACACTCTCCAACAGTTTCATGTCCTTTTTATACTGTGGTGCCCAGAACTGCACACAGTACTCGAGGTGAGGCCGCACCAGCGCAGAGTAGAGCGGGACAATCACCTCCCTCGACCTACTAGCGATGCCGTGCTTGATGCACCCCAGGACATGGTTGGCCCTCCTGGCTGCCAGGGCACACTGCCACACTGTTCTTCTGGTGGAAGCAATTCTGGCAGTGCAATAAATCTCCTGGCTAGTAGTGGACCGCTATTTTCTTGTCAATAATGTTAACTAACTTTCTGTTTAGTTCTACAGTTGAAGTAGGTTTGCTTCAGGTTTGAAGGCACTAGTGACCATTAACAAGGGACAAGTAAATAAATAAATATGTGGAGGAAATAGTACTTAAAAAAAAATAAATGCTTTTCAAGATTCAGTTATTGTGGTTTTATAGGATGAGTGACTGAAACTTGTTTGGATTCTTCCCAGAACAAATACACACACTGAAGTCCTCTGGAGAACAGAAAAAGAAACAGCAGTAATACAGAAGTACCAGTTTTATCTCTAGCCCAACAGATAATTTTGTGGTAGTGTGCAGTACACATGTTCACTCCTAAACCATTCTCATACCTATAATTGCACATGTACATGTTTAACATTTTGAGTCCTTAAACATATCTGTTAAGGAAGCGTATGCAGACCCATGTTGTTTTGCTGGTGCACTAAGTTAAAAAAAAAAAAAAAAGGCAAAGAAGTTTGGGGGTTTGCTTGTGCCCTTTCCCTTACAGATGTTATTGGACTGAGAGCTCTCTGTAGGGAGAATTCTTGGTATATATTCTGGGATGTCCAGAAAAAAGATGATAAATACATCATTTCATATGGAGGGTTGATAATTCAATGCCTAAGAATGTGAACTGGGGAATAAATCAATCCAAAGAGACATTCAGTTCTTTGGCGTTCATTTCTCTTTTTTCTTTCCCAGTAAATGTTCCTCAGCTATCCTAGCAAGGGGGTGTTCTTATAAACGCCTTGCTGAAAATCTCAGATCTTACTGGCTGTCCTCATGAGAATTCACAACTGTAGACTGAAGGTGGTTCATTGCAGCTTATGTTTAAAGCCGTAAGTAGCAAGTCAAGATAATTTCACAACTAAGTTGTTGTTTTAAACTGAACTGAATGTTGCTTGTTCTAAATCACTCCTGCTTGCTTGGTGATTAGGAATAGCACATTGGTGTCCCCTCTGAACTCCTGAATTTGCAGTAATAATTGTACCACGTGAATCTAGGTTTAAGGTAATCTCCAGTTACCTCTTCTATTTCCATCTTAGTATTGCCTACTCCCAGTCTGACTCCCTTCAGACTATTAGTTCTATAAATTTTTGCCCTAGAGGGCCATCAGGTTTGAGGGGAAGGAAAAAAGATTGTGAACAAAAGAAGCCTAATATCCTTTCTCCACTGGACACTGTATCAAAGGTAGATGTGATTACTCCAGTCTGATTTAGATAGTTTACGCATTTAGCTGTGGAATCTGCACTGGATACAATCTACCCCTACAACAGTAGGGGTTTGTTAATTAGCTTGTTTACAGAAGCACTCACAGAAACAATGTGGTTCAGCAAGAGCTGGTCAATCAAACCATAGCTGAAGAAACACCAGAGACCCTTTCTACCTGATCTGCTAGGAGACAGAAAAATACCAATAACACCAGCTAGTGGCTGCTGCAGTGTGCTTTTAGTGTCCTCTGTATGCATTTGAGGGAAGCAGGGAGGGACTGTTTTTTCCACTTCAGTTGAAATACTCCTCCTTTTACAAGTACAACTTTGCCAAGAGGAGAAAAAAAAAAAGCAAAACTGAAATCTTGCCAGTCTAATAAACATGAAGATTATGTAGATGAAAATCCCAAAGCCCTTAGGCTCTGACCACAGTGTTGTTTAGATGAATTGGCAGAGTCTGAAAACCTTTATCTCATCTCTCTGACCTACGGTTATTCCCTTAAATGCCTTCTCCAGGATCATTCTCTCAGTTCCCATTTTAGTGTTTCTCTCCTGTGAAGCAATAAAAGAAGCTCTCAGCTCATCATGTCCTCTTTAAGTATTACTTGTGAAAAGAGCATTGCTGAGACTGATTCTTGCTGTGGATCTATGTGCTTGTGACCCAGCTTGGGTTGAAAGTATAGGTGTTGTTTTGGGACATGGTAGACAACAGCCTCAGAGGCTGGAACAGTGTTCGCAATAGTGCGCGTCCATCTTCCCATCAGTTTTGGATGCTGCTACCACCAGCTTTACTCATGGTGGTGGGCTCTGTCTGTGCAAGGAGTCCCGCATTCATGGTATCAGTCCTCACCTGTGAAAGGCCACAAAGCTTTGCCCTTGAGGAATCTTCTTCCTTAAGTGCTCCTTATGCTTGGATGGAGCTGTCAGGCTGTAGATGATTACCTTATCTGACAATGGCTGC